AAAAATGCTAAATATGGTTTGAGGAACGAATGAACATCATGGAACACGTGGCATCATGGCACATCATGCTACGTTCTTCTTCTAACTCAAGTCTGAGCCCAAAGAAGCTCAGCACATTGCACAGGCTCTGTAGCACCGGCGAGGATCCTGAAATACTTTTGGTAGATTTTGAACTCCAAATTTTGCCCGGGCCGCGCCGTTAGTCTACTCTTTTCGATTTCCAACTGCCAAGGGATATTTTACGTGCGCAACAATGCACACGGGCGACCCAGAGAACAGAGGGAATTACTTGAAGTCCAAGTCCACGCAAAAAATACCCAGCCCCTACCGGGGATTGAACCCGAAACCTCTAGCCCTCGAGGCAGACACCATGCCTCGAGACCACGCAGCCCCCGTATAAAAATAACCCACCATGTGACTAGAATGCTTAGCGGAGTGAATGGAGAAGACGCACACAAACACAAACGAACGTTTCTACCAAAGTCTTTATCAGCCGAGAAAGTGCACATCCAGAGCGAAAGACAGCATGTTGGGGTTCCACTGCGGCCAAACTTCATTATGGAGATAGCACCTGATTGATTAATTGACATTAACAAAGATAAACACACGCAAATACACACACAAGCATGCAAAAAGATAAACAATACATTGTCAAGATGTATAATTTCAGAAAGAACTCTGCAACGTCACTGTTTTGAGGCGATCTTCATCTACAGGAGAGAAACATAATATCAAACTTGCAGGACCGCCGCAATGCCCCCAGCAGGTTAGTCTAGTCAACATTGATTCCTAGAGTTTTCTCGCCATGTGTTACTATAGATTTTATATCGACACGTTATATCTCCTGCATCCTTCAGTTTATCTTGCAGGTCGCTCCCGTGGGCCCTGAATCTGCTCTCTTGCTGGAACAGTTTAGGCAATTTTAAGTGGTATTTCGCAATTTGCTTTTTTGTTTTGTTTTTTGTTTTAACAATGCAACAGCATGTGCCCAAGTCAGCGAGACCCATAGGCTAGACGTGTGCTCTAAACAAAGTCAAGTCGGGAGATATGAACCAGCGTCATTGCACACGGTTATAAACCATAAGTGCTCTGCCACCAGTACGGACAGCCGATAAGAAACTGTCCACCTGTGTCACCATCCGCACGCAACTCCGTAGTAGCTACAGCGACGTTCCTCCATTTACTCAGAGTGTTAACTCTAGTAACCATTACCTAGAGGCTGGGTGAACCCCGGGAACCGTCCGGTTTCGAACACTGGCCGTGGGCTGCAACAAGTTTCTGCCAAGCTTAGTGTATACCGCCATGCTGTTATACTCTCAGAGGTTTTTTTTATCCTCTTCAGTTCTGCTTTCTGGACTGTCTTAAGAGTGTCTATGGCGCTCCGAATCTCAGACGAATGGGGCTGCGTGAGGTTCTATGCAAGCTTTTACACTCACCTGTTTTTTTCGTGTTCATTGATACAACAATGGACTAATATTCCCTTCACTATTAATTATGTTCATGTAGAAATCATTCCAATGTTTTTGATGTTTGCTTTTCTAAGATTGTTTCGTACGTGATACTGTCCTCTGTGGAGCATACGATGATCTGGAGGTCTAATGTTGAGGTTGTATATAGCGGTTGAATTTTTAGTGCACAGTGACAAGCACTGCTCCAAAGGTCCTGAACAGTTAGTGTCCTTTGGATATTTCCACCCCGATTTGCAGGTGTGTTCAGAATTGAACAGGCAGACTAACTGATTCTGCCTCATTTGATGGTAAACTGATGCATAATAAGCTGGCAGTTTTCAAAGCGAGTGAACAGTTTTGAAGCATAAACATATCACCATGGTCTGGAGAGTATTGTGCAGTGGAAGTGACAAAAGTAAAACACGGACGCTTACCACTCAGAGGGGTTGCCCGGCTCTCTAGCGTAGTTGGCTAAACCGGATTACGCGGTGAGCGGGTGACGAACTCCTTGTGGTCCGGGTTCACTCCCGGGGGTAGACAGAAAAGCCACATTTCTCCCAGATTTACGGTATTTACACTGCAATCAAGGCCGAAACGTTGCAATATCCATAATACCGAGCCTAAGGGTTAACAACTCATGGCTTCTGGAAACTAAAACAAACAAACAAACCACTCAGAGGAAAGGCCGAACAGGCAAATAGGGAGACTGATTCTTGTACGATCGGAGTTAGACCTCTACGCTGGCTGCTGCAGATGGGGACAGAGCCCATAACCCTCTGCCCTCCCATAAACGTTGGTGGTTATGTTTCGCTATCTCGTCATGGTCACCAGAATCACAGATCAGGTCAGTGCTCTTGTCTAGTCCCATCTATCGGACCATGTCATCCACATATTTAACTTTGCCTTCTCATTGCTATTATCAGTTGTGCCAGTCGTCATCAAGTTCTTGAATCAATTTTCTCTCACATGACTAAAATTATTGACTTCCTGTGTCTAATTTCTCTTCTCTAGGTAGACTGCCTCTTTTTTCCCCCCCTATAATCTCATAAGATTTCCTGTATTCTACTCAAAAAAAAAAAAAAAAAAAAAAATTGACAAAAGCCACATCTTCACTGTAAGTAGATGTTTTCGTCTTGTGTGCATATTACCTACAGTTTATCTTGCAGGACGCTCCCGTGGGCACGGAATCTGCTCTCTGGCTGGAACAGTTTATGCAATTTCTAAGTGGTATTTCGCAGTTTTTTTTCTTCTTCTATTGCCGACACCTAACACGAATATAAGACAGTTTTTTTTATCTAACACTTTAACACGCTCTTCATCACTGCCGTAGGCATCCTTTGGGTGGGGCTGGGGTGGGGGTGGGTGGTGGGTTGGGGGGGGGGAGGGGAAGCACTTATGGAGATATCAAAGTATGTAAGTGAAGTTGAATAATTAAACATAACATAAAATAACAACGAAACCATGGATATAGTAGTAAGTAAAGAAAGCATTGTAAAGGATCTTTTTCACGTGAATGCTCCATCGGGCATACGATACAAGGAGCTTATCTTTTTTTTGAATAGATAAATAGAAGGCAATGGGTGATAGGACGAACATCATGCTGGCCGCCTTTATTCTTCGGAATATTTTATTGCGCAGCTGCGGGCCATGCGCCTTGCGTTGGTTTCGACAGTGGTACCAAGAAAGCCGACCGCCCAGGAGCAGTGGCAAACTACTGGACGTAAATGTGGCTAGAAAAACCAAAGGATACGAAACTAACCTTATTTTACTGCGCCCCTTTCAGACTGGCTCGACATGGGGGCCAGGATCAATTGATTTTTAACGCCTTTCCTCCACCCACACTTTGTAAATTTGAATCCAAGACCTTCACCTAGAAGCCAAAGCGCTTAGGTCACCCCTATCGACATTTAAGTATACAATTTTAAATGTTTAAACTAGTGGTATCCATATCCGTTGCACTAAGCCAGTCACCCAAGTGCAGTTGTGGGGATTTTCATCTAACTGAATTTTTTTGGACTGTTAATTGTCACTCTACAATATGCCAAAATACATACCTAGGGAGTAAGGCAACATCTGTAGATGAACCTATAGATTCAGCGCAAGAAATTTCATCTAGAATCGCACTGGCATCTAGTGCCTTTAACAAACTGTCAAACATCTGGAAGTCGAAGACACTCAGCAAACACACAAGACTTGAGATCTTCAACTGTTGTGTGATTTCAGTGCTAAATTATGGATGCTTGAACTGGAAAGCAACGGTAGCTCTAAATAAAAAAAAATTACAGTTTTGAGAACAGATATCTTAAAAGAATACTAAATCTTCACTGGATAGATTTCTGATCCAAAACGTACAAAAGACAAGCGAGCAAGCAAGATGATGTCTCCAATTTTATAAGAAATCGCCGCTGCAACTATATCGGCCATGCACTCAGAATGGAGAAGACAAGACTCCCTCACCAAGCCCTCATTTGGACTTTGGTAAGCAAAGAAAACAGGGAAAACCACTTGCGTAGAAATATCACCAGGAAGTCTAAACGTAGAAGTGTCTAATAAACAGCCAAGACCTAAAACAGGTGGCAACGAACCGCCAGACATGCAGAACTGTGACATTTGCTCTATGTGCCGAACTAGGCTCAAGAAGAAAGACTAACTAACTAACAAACAAACAAACTAACTAACTAACTAACTAACTAACTAACTAACTAACTAACTAACTAACTAACTAACTAACTAACTAACTAACTAACTAACTAACTAACTAACTAACTAACTAACTAACTAACTAACTAACTAACTAACTAACTAACTAACTAACTAACAAACAAACTAACTAACTAACTAACTAACTAACTAACTAACCAACTAACCAACTAACTAACTAACTAACTAACTAACCAACTAACAAACTAACTAACTAACTACTAACTAACTAACTAACTAACTAACTAACTAACTAACTAACGAACTAACTAAACTAACTAACTAACTAACTAACTAACTAACTAACTAACTAACTAACTAACTAACTAACTAACTAACTAACTAACTAACTAACTAACTAACTAACTAACTAACTAACTAACTAACTAAAATGCCAAAGTCAAAAACGTGAATTCCTACTCCAGAGATGTAAAAAAAAAAATATTACTTTTCACATAACTTAAGTTTTTATTTTCTAAATGTTTAGATCTCAGTGTTCAGAGGCGATTTTCTAGAAACCAGGATTAAACAGTTTGATGACTTTGCATAGTGAAAACGAATATAAACTCGTGCATTTACGTTAGATGTGCATCCTTTACAGGACGTTGCAGAACCAAACCTAGCTTTTCTTTTCTGCTTGGTGTTGCTAGACAATTTTACGTTCAGTAATTTTCCACCCCTCTCTTATTGTTCGACTCTCGATACCATTGTCGAAATCAACGTAAAGCGGTATGCTCTCAAATCGCCCGCTGCAGGAATGAACCCGCGCATCTCGAAATTGTAAAGCCTACCACACACGCGCGACATGGTCGTGTATACAGAGTAGATAGTCCAACTTTACTACATTTCCAGACCGAGGATTCCGATCCACAAATGGAAGCACCAAGTCGCAGAAGACGGTCTGATCCTGCATTCACCGAAGCCTGGTACTTTCTCTAAAGAGAGGTTGCCATACTCACTAACAGCTCCTATTATCTTTTATACAAGCGACGTAGTACATACTATCGCACGGTAAGTTATAGTAGTTCTTGAAATGTGAAGTCCATCGCAACTGACCGCCAAAGGTGGAGAGAGCTGATCAGTCAACAGAAACTGGTGACCCAGCGACACGCAATGTTACGGGATGATGATGATGGATAGTCTTTTTTCAAGTGGTTGCCGTGCAAAAAATTAAAGAACAATAAAAGTCTATGTCTAAAAGGTCAGAATTATGAGAGAAATAATCTTTTCTATAGCAACATACGGATGTGAGTCGTGGCCTATTTAGCAGTTGCTATGCGAGAAAATCCGGACTTATGATCTCAAAGGTTAGAGAAACATTCTTAGAATACCGTGGACCAAGGGGTTTAAATAATGACATTTTCAACGATATGAACATCTTAGAAAACTGCTTTGTAAAGATGATCACGTCTCGTAAACCCAAACATTTTGGCCATATTAAGCCTCTTAGTTTCTTAGTGGCTTGGACAGAACAGCAATGGATGATATGGTACCAGGTGACTGAGGCAGGGATCGATCAGAATGAAGCTGGGCATATGATATATAAGATCCTTGAAGCTGTGATGGAAGCGATATTCTGTATATGATCTTCAACATTGGAACGATGATGAGCTATTTGTATTCTATTTGTAAACCATACTTATAAATCCAATGTTAAGCTTTAGTAAAACTGTTTGAATATGGAATCAAACTCAGGAATTACGGGTCAGCGTGACGATTGAGGCGAGAAGGGTAAAGGGTGCCAGACTAATATCTCATAGAATATTAGGTATTAAATATGTGATGCGGCCAACATTACCCCAACCGCCTTTGTAATTATTTCAAGTCAAATAATTGACCGGGAGCCTTCACTTTTCTTTCCCCAAACACAGAGCAGAAAAATCGACCGGTGTATTTTAGTTGTTCCTTCTGCTATTTTAGGCAGCTTACACGATGGTGATTTTGAATCTGGAGTTTGTCAAAAGTCCCTGCACTTTAGCAAAGCAGATGAAACTAACGCCGGGAGCATCTGCGACACTGACGTATACACAGCCTATACGGTAAGTTACTTTTATATCATATGTAAACACATAATAACTATCATTATCCTCCTCCTCCTCCTCATCGTCATCATCATCACCATCATTATAAAGTGTTAGATAGGGCAATCGACCCGGTAGAAAAACCTGTCCATCCAGTTTCGTACAAATGGCCTAATTGACGTCTGCTGCAAAACAATTGCTTTCTATTCAAGTGTCTGCCTGGTAGCTTTTAACGTGTCTAGGGTCCGGCTGGAAGGGCTGTGTTTGGTCATCTTGCGAAGGTAATGTTGAATTTAGTGACGTCTTATGTGTGAATAATCTGATCACCCCTAGACGTTAATTACTCTAGTGCATTGACGGAGGAAACAGTCGTTGGAACTAATAAACATTTCGTATGTGATCAGCGGTGTGGCATTTCCAACGTTCCTTGTCTCGTGTTCAAGATGATATTGAACTATCTGGCAGTGTGCCTTGATAAGGCTGCATGCGACTAGAGCCTGCGAGAGTCGCAGCATCTCAGTTGAGTAGGTTAAGATATACCTAGTGTTGTGTGTTCATTGTTTTAAGATTTCAGATTGTAAAATACATGCATAACAGTTACATGCAGCTTCTGGTCCAAAATGGAGTGTAACCGGAAGTCTGCTAACACTCTGAAAAATACTTTGTTTCTAACTAAGGTTTGCTGTCACAAATATTTCTAATTTCTGGACCTGGTGACATTGTGAGCTGTGAATTTCACGTGGAAAGGTTTTTTTCGACACTTCTGATGACTGCATTATTGCATTATACATTTACTTTGCTTGTGCGAGCTTCAAGATTTTGCAGGGACTCGCATGCTCTCACTAATTTTCCAATGCGACAGTGAAAGAAACTTTGTATGATTTCCACGAGCACAGAAATTGAGCGATTATGAGACGAACTGTCTGCGCTGAAGTTGGAACCACTGAAAAATAAAAACTAATTCAACCGTGGGAGGGGGGGGGGGGGGGGGTAGGGGGGGGGGGCAGAGGTTCTGGGAGATATTCAACATTGAAAAGAAAACAGGGACGGACTTCTAATCAGGTTGAAACTGGTACGATTAGCACGACAGCTCTTTGTTGGTGGCTGAAAAAGGAGACGAATCACGTGTGGGAATGTCTAAAGTGCAGTGATATCAGTTCTTGACTCATTCATTTTTTTTTCTTTTTTTCTTTCTAAACAGATCAACATCATGGCACAGGGGTAGTAACCCATAAGTGCTCCATTCTACTTCTAACTCAAGTCTGAGTCTGAAGAATCTCAGTGCAGTGCACGAGCTCAGTAGCACCGGCGTAGATCCTGACATAATTTGCGTAGATTTTAAACTCCAAATTTTGCCCGGGCAGCGCCGTTAGGCTACTCTTTTCGATTTCCAACTGCCAAGGGATTTATTTAATGTGTGCAGCAATACACACGGGCGTCCGATCTCACTACCCAGAGACTAAAAGTTTACGTGAAAAAAGACAGCCTTTACCGGGGCTTGAACCCGGGACCTCCTGCACTCGAATCGGACGCTATGCCTCGAGACCACGCAGCACCATTTATTTTAAATGATTATGTCGTTTAAATTGGGCCTTCTTCTGTCTTTCTAGTCCCCGGTGGTGCATAGGCTCTCAACCAACTCACACCAAGTCGTTCTATCCTTCGCTTTCACATGCAGCTCTCTATGCCCTTCCCATCCTGTTAACTTGACTCTCCAGCTCTCTTCTCCATGTGTTTTTGGGGTTTTGTAAGTATGAGGGCTAATCAGTTAGGAGAATGCCTTATGTTGAATAAACCGAGAAGTACTCTGTTTTTTTAAAATTATTTAATCGTTTTTTGTGAAAGGTGTGGAGATAACTATTAACCGTATGATCTCTTTTCGTTTGGCCTTAAAACCGCAATAGACAGGTTTTGTGTCCCGATTATAGCAAGGCTGCTAAATCGTATTACTCAACACATCCGACTCCAGCAAAATCATAAGGTGTCTCTTTTTAGGACATGCTTATTATTGAGTATTCCTATAAATAAACAGAGGGGGAACCTTTGAGGCCGTTAAATATTATGAATTAATCGAGTAACAGAAAGTTTTTTGATCGACACTGATAGAAAGAAGTAGTAAGATAGAAGAACACACTAGACAACATAAAAATCGAAAGCTATAGTTACCGTGCCGGGAATTGAACCTGTCACCTCCAGACTGCGTCTGCGCCTCTCCATGAATACAAGTGCACTAACAACATGGTCTGCTAGGCACCCCCCCCCCCCCCAAAAAAAAAAAGGTGTCTTATTGGCCATGTCTATCGTACAGCTTGAAATCCACAACTATGGAATACGGACAGAATTCATTTCAACCCATTGAAATGTCACCATCGGTTACATAAATTTATATTAACGAAGCAAATGTCGAATAACAATCACAGCAATAATTTACTAACACAGTAAGACCTTATTGCTTTGTCTAGAATACACAAACATTTAAGAAAGGTATTTGATTGGCAAGTTCCGGTGAGCAGTGGGTCAACTCCCTCATCCCAGGCCCAAGAACCGATAAGGGGAGGTAACTAATAGGAATTGTGGGTAATTCTCGCCATTTTGACAGTTCGCCTGTTTTTTCCCCTGCAGGCAGAAAGTAGTCCATTCTCTCTGTTCACTCCCAGTCGAATCATTCCCTGCAGCTAGGAGTGCTTTGGCTGTTCTGTTGCCCAGTTTACTCCATCTTAACCATCTTAGTACCCAGCAACTCACCATAATTTACTCTAGATCGAGTCTACAATTTGTACTTTCGTTTTCTCCGTCAAAGATACTGTAGTTATAACACTATCCAAATTACTATTCTAACTTCGTCGTTCTTAGGATGAAATTTTTTGTCATTTGAAGCCCTACTCCGGCTTTTGCCAGGGGCCGCAATTTAGGCAGGCCATATATATGGCCAAATGTCTGAACGCGGTTTCTGGGACCTCTCCACGGCGATCCTCATCCACACGGTGGCACTTTGTGTCATCGGGTGTTTATCGCTTGTGTGATGTCCTGGTGGGGTAGAAATTCAGTTCAGTTCACTATCCAAAATTAGAGTTTAGCTGCTTCTAATCCATAGTGTTTTTTTAAATTTAATTCAGGACTGGCTGATGTCAAGTTCAAGTTCTAGTAAAGAAAGAGTTGAAGGAATTATTTGACATAAACAGGGTGACCTGGACCCAAATATATGTGGCCTGCCCCGCTCCCCCTCCCTCCCCCATCGGGTTAAGCAGATAAACTGCATTCCCTTGCATGCATTTGTATTTCTCAATGTAAGAATCTATATACACATTTAGTTTCCATCATTATTATTATGTTTCAAAAATTTAAATGCTCTTCAGTTAAAAAGAAGACCCTTTTCCACGCCTTTAGACACGCTGTGTGTATAATGCTAGAATTAAATTTTACGGAAACCCCTACAATAGATAGGTGTTATTAATAGAGTTGAGTTGAGACTATAACCGACATTCCAGCATTCGGGACATTCCAATAGGCGCCGCGTCCCCATTTTTAACAACCAGCGAAGTGTTCAAGTTCTACTATTAAAATAATAATTATTATTGTTAAAACAACGGAGAGTCAGAATTCATCTACACTTTGCATTCTACAATTTAATTACATAAAGCTAGGGTTTTACTATGCACATCATTTTTCTACGTAAGCTGCCTCCTTATCAGTGCACTGTCTCCCAGTGGTCAACAAGCTTACGTACTCCATCACAAGATTATTATGGCCTGGAGAGAATGAGGCACCTGGGTGTAACCAGAGGGTCCGGCCGGCTCGTGACACTCAGAGGAAAGGTAAGACGGACATATAACCAGATCGTGACCGGTACCATCAGTATTGGAACTCTGCTCTGGCCGCTGAAGATGAGGACGGAGCACGCATGGGAATGCCCCGAGTGCTGTGATGTCAATTCTTGACTCAGCTCAACTCAACTCAACTCAATGTATTCTTTCCAACTAAAAGGTTTCG